TACTTCCAGCCCTCAGTCTCTGTTGGTATCAAAGCTGTTCGCCAAATATCTTCAAGTACAACATATACTGCTGATTCTCTGGAAAACAAGAACGCAGAAGATGGTTCTGGCTCGCAGACAGATTAGGGAAGAAAACTGAATCTAGTTAGTATACACAGCTTTGATTCTACGACAGTAAACCACAAGGGATAAAGTCGTTGGCTGACTTCCATCCATTATGGCGTTTTGAAGGCGTATGTGGCCTATACAATGAGCTGCCATGGTTAACCGAAGTACAAATCAGTCTTTCATCCTCGCATACGGGTCTGGTGGCCTGCTACCAATTAACCAGCTTCGGAAGTATGGAATGCTCGGTTGGCCTAGACGGGATCCGACTCGGAACTCGATTTCCGGACCATGCGTGCGCGAAAGCGCACCATTTGCCACTACGCCACATCCGTCCTAATTCTGCGATATATTCAAATCAGAAAAAACTGAATAGCCTTAAACCGATATTCTTACCAACAAATTGAAACAATGTCCGCCAACCATACTTGTCAACCAACAGCGAACCAATCGAGCCGGCCAGAACCGTGCTGAAAGGAGTTCTTAGATTGAATCTATGATTTCTTGTTTTATCATTGTGCGATACGATTGAATCATAGTCGGTAACAGTCTATATGCCTACAAGCAGCTGTCTTGTGCTTTTTCAATGCTCTTTATACCTTACAACACTTAGACAGAGCGCAAAGCTCGGAAAGCACAGGCAGAAGTTTGAGTCCCGCCCGAGACCGAAGTTTTGCTCATAACTCGTCAATCTTCTGATCTTTCCCGTTTGCGGCGAAGTAACAGCAGTTAACAAAGCAGACAAAAATCAAGTAAAATTAGTACTTGAACAAATGGTAAATTTAATGGGCATGACCTACCCGCAATGAGATCCTGCAAGGATGATCCCGAAAACTCGTCCCTTATCAGCGGCAGTGAGATGGCGTGAGACCATCGAAGCCATTGATGGTATATGGAAGGCTGGAAGCAACTGTGGATTACCTTTTGGAAAAGCTTGTTCTGGATACTTACAAATCAAGAAGTAAAAAGGCTTGAGGATATTGCGCAGCATTACTTTCTACGGTTCTGAACCCTCCAAAGGGTTCCCAGGAAGACCCCACCCCAACTACCCTAAAATTCCATAGATAAGAGCGGGTTGAACTTACCGGTGAAAAATGAACTGGAATGAAGTTGAAATTGAATGCAGTCNGACTGCATTCAATTTCAACTTCATTCCAGTTCATTTTTCACCGGTAGGTTCAACCGCTCTTATCTATGGAATTTTAGGGTATTTGGAGTTAATGGTGACGTTCTAGCGATTCATTATAAACTATGTAGAGTGGCATCAAAACTGAAAAAGAAGTCTTAGGAAAAGACGAATCCCCGGCAGTTTTGATCCGCCAATACACGGCCTGGCGAGGCGCTCAACCAATTTTAGGGTGGTAACGGACTTATCCCTGAATCGCTCGCTGTTAGTGGGGCAGCAATTTACGGATCGCTACGGCATCGGAATCGGGCTAAATCCCCATTCCCGGTTCGGAAATTCTCCCACGACATGGGTTCGAGAGCAACATTCCTAGATGTCTCCACCCAACCAATTGATCGCAATAAAGAATATAGACCTAGGCTAACTGGCGTACCTTGTCCAATGCCTGTCAAGATCCTAGTGAGCAACAAGATAATCAACGGAAAACCACTCCAATAGGCAAAATCGAAGAGTTGTGGAGTGAATATCGTGAGCACTATCCATACTAGACTCGTTATCGGCAAAACCTGGCAAAGAATTTACTTTTTTGGTAAAGCTATCGAATATTGTACCATGTAATACAGCAGTTAGAGTCGAAAGTATTCAAGTAATCATTTGGAAGGGCTGAACAAGAGGAATGGGATTGGGGGAAGCACATAAGTAGACGTGATTGGTGGATTACTGCGGCCACGAATAAGACGGCGCACTGGCCCATGCCTGGCACCGAATCCTAAGGTCAGGAACAGATCAACGGCACGACTAAAGGTAAGGACGGTCCAGAAGGCCGTCAAAACTTCGGTCCCAGTCGTCGAAAAGCGACCGAGAGAAGGCACAGAAGAGCTCCAAGTTCGTTCAAAAATCCCGTTACCGTCAAGCCCGTCCTCAGGGGACGTTTCTTTTAGACGTAGCTATCGGACTGTGACAAAAAATGGAATAATAGGTCCATTCATCTTAGGCAACTCTCAGAAGTGTGAAAATAAAGAATTTTAAATAGAAGCGGTCTTTTTTCTTCATTTTTTCTCACTTTCTTCACCACTGGCTATAATCGAACACCAACGCTTTACCTCCTTTACGTTTCCACCGTACACCATAACAATTAACTAGTTGGTCCTTTCCTTAGAAATTTTTGATCAATAAGAAATTTAGAATTAAATAAGGTCAGCTCGAAGAATCTCACATTCTCACCACCATATGTGTCGGCGATACCTCCTGCAATCAGTTGTGTTATCGCATATCCCCAGAAGAAACACGACAGTACGGTACCCTGTAAAAGGTAGATTAAGTTAATTATTGAACTATATTTCCTAGTTCATCTGAATTGAATGAGAAAGCATGAAAGAGATTCATCTAGCTTCATATTTGGAAAATTTTGAAGGATGTGACGCGCGCGGTCGCAGTGCGGTTGTGTCGATCAACTAATCGATCGCCGTATTATCGCAGTGTTTAGCTTTCATTTGTAGTAGCATTCAAATGAGACCATGAATTAAACTTGTCGATAAGAAAAGAGCTGAAACGTTAAATTCTTTCTGATGGGACCCTTCCTTCACCCATGAACAAGCTATTTCGTACCGAATCGGTTTTGTTCCAGCTGAACTCTTTAGCGATGGCTGCAGCACAAATTGGTAAAGCCACCCGAGATGCATATAGTACACTGGTACCGGTGAACAACGTGAACGTCCAAATACGAGATTCCGTTCTGAAAACAATGTGGCCTACAAATCAGCTCTCAAGATAGAAAGGCACTTTTCACGTCAATTCTGCCTATTTGGTTTTATTAGCAGATCTGTGTACATAGAGACATTCAGGCTTTTTTTTCTAAAGTGCAAAGTCTCCTCAATATATTTTAGTACATATTTAAGGTGAGGCAGCTGGTTAGAGTTCATGCAGGTGTCCAATTACTCCCATTTATAGAAGAAGCAGTCACAATCGGTCTGCAGAAGTCCAAGAGTTTTGTTTTTTTCAGACGAGATGGAGCTAATTGGGTTGCAAGAAAAAAATTGTTTGGTAGTTGTAGGTAAGCAATCAGAGGTCTGAAAGGGCGCTTCTAGCCACTGGCTCCATCCAGCATCATGGCCATCGCAATGAGGTTAGGAATGGGTTATGAACAATTCATCCAAGAAAACACGAAAAATGATCCACCGAGTAATTCTTAGGGTTGGGTCGAGGATTAAGCTCAGACAACTAACTTACTTAGACCATAGTCGCTTTGCGTGAGGCTCATCATGCTCACCAGGTCGCCTCAGCATTGCGCGCTGCCGTCGCGCTGGCGAAACTTGGAATTTTCACCTGGAAGTAAACGATTAAATCATACTTCGTAAAGCTGAGCTTGAAAAAAAAACAATCAAAGGAAATCATCAACAAAAGGGAGCAGTTGAAAACATACAATCATGCTGTATGTGCATGCCCCTTGTAAATCCTATGCGTCATCAAAAACAAACGGGAAATTCTGTTCAGGAATTTTTTTCGATGCAGATGAATCATTAGAAAGTGGTGGGATAGGTGACAACAATGAATCACGTTCATACATCTTGAAAAGGAAATTACATAATTCTTGCAATTATTGCCTCATTTACACGAATGTCCTGCAAATTTGTGGGTATAGTATTATAGAACACTGAGAGACTTTACGTTGAACACGTCGAGCTTGAAAAGCCTAAAAATGGGAGCTGACCGCTTATCTGAATGATTTAATAGTCTGAAGAGGGCAGTGGTGGTTTAAAGGGACAGTGGTTACCTGTCTGGAGCTTCACTGAATGTCACCTATGCGAAAGAATATAGTGGTTTAAAGGGACAGTGGTTACCTGTCTGGAGCTTCACTGAATGTCACCTATGCGAAAGAATATAGTCAAGGGCGGATGCCACCACTAAATCGTCATGACCCTTCAGCTAAAAAACAGTATAAGAGAGAAGGATGCCGTTTAAGCAAGGTGATTTCTAGCGCCACGCAACATACAATATTTATCGATTACCGCGCGCGTCGCTCATGCGTCACGCCAGTAGCCATTTTTCGAGGATTACGTAACAGCGATTCCTTCCAGAATATGGTGATGGTAACCTTGCACGCTACAACTAGCCCACTGAGATCAAAGAGTCGAAATATTGCTATGTCAGCTGAATAGTGAACCCTAGAGAAATTCATTATATAGGTGGTTGGGCAGCACTTGATGTCAACTAAGCCCACCTCCTCCCTCCTACGCCGGTTTAGTCTACGTTGGGGAAAGTCAATGTGAAAATGCAGGAAGCCCGTAAAAGCCGACATTTAGAGACTGATTGAAACCCTTCCGTAGCGCTAGTCGAAATGAACAATGAAGGGTTCAAAGGGCCACCGTTACTAGGCGACCAACATTAATGCACCAACCATGAGGAAATGATGGAATCATTTCCAATGCACACATTTGCAATAATGACTTCTAGGACACGGCGTCAAACGGTACTGACTTTGAAAATGGTTTCAACAGAAAAGGTAATGGAAAGGAGAAATTATGTGAAACATTGCCAACTTAGCCCTTACTGGGCCTCAGTATTAATTTCCGAGTATTTTGATTTGGGTATCAAATCTAGGCTGGTAGGTCGCCCAGGTCTATGAGGCCCTCCATTTGTCAAGGTTCCTTAGCAGACCCTAGCTGGTTCGGAGGATAAAAACTCCAACTTATGGATTGATTGGCCCCATAAATTATTGCATAGGCCAGAGTTGTGCCATGCACTCGGTCTCCATCTAATATCGATTTCACGACAAATCTGAGCAGGTCCACAGACGCATCCAAAATCGAGGATTTTGTCTTTCGAAAAGCTCCACACTATCGGTACTAGACCTTTCAAGCGTTTTTCGGTCAGTGCGATGTAATCATCATCTCCATCATGACCCGTACTTCATCTGGTCCAAAAGTGAAAACAAGCCCAGATTGGTCATTTGGATACGTATAGGAAATTCGTTTCATGAAAACGGCAAGCAGAACGATGAAAAGTTAGAGAAACCTGACAACTTCGAGATCTTTCCACACGGGGTCTACAGTTCAAATATTATGTAGCTTCCCGGCTCACCCTCCCTACCCCATTCAAATACAGCTTTCCCACTCGCCCTTCCGCCTCCTCCAGACCACGATCTTTTCTGCCCTTTGGAACATTCCATACAAGACTGGATACTCGTTGAAGTTGAAGGAGCTTGCATTCAATCCGTCATGCATTGCAAAAGATTTGGGACCATAAAAAACAGGCGCAGCAAGCAACAAAAAATGTGGAATATCGAATATTCGAGGAGATGAGCTGACGGAACGGTCAGGAGCTTTGCAAAGCCACTTCCATAAATCTTTGGGAATAGTCCAGGGAAGCCAATATTTCGCTATGGCTTCGTTTCAATTGCACTGACAGAATCCGATTGGAAAGGAACAAGAGAGAAGCGGGGTTCTGGGTAAGGGAATTCATCAACCCGACCCCTCACAACAACTGCTTTTGAGCACAGCTGACGATACCTATTCAATTGATAGGTAAACTTCAACTGGGGGATCTCGGATGATCAATCATATAACACAGAAAAGTGCCAAAACAAAGCTCGAAGTCATCCAATCAACCATCCAGAAATATCCTTTCATCCTTGCCATGGAAGAATGAGCAGGACAACAACGTGAAGCAAGTAATAAGCAAATAGGCAACCCCGTCTGGGAAGGAAGGCAACCCCTCGAACGACAATACGACTATAAAAAACAAACAAAAGGCAAATACGCAGAGCAAAAGAAAACGGTGAGAAGCACAAAGAATGAGGGAGCATTGCAAGTTATTGTGATTGCGCCACGCATTCTACTTCCATTAGAAAACGCGTTTGTAGCTTGAATTGTGCCGAGCGTGTACCATGACTCACGCAGCCAACAAATGTTCAGTAAGTGTTTCCGTCCCTAGAACGAGCCCAATAGCAATCAATATGCCGAATGTCAAGCTTCTCAAATGGAGCACATTGCCAAGTCTTTATCCTGAATTATACGGAAGTATCATGTATTTTTACGACCATAAAGCCTCAAAGAGCTAAAGCAAATGTGTTGGTGACGGCGGGGAAATCGAGAAAGTTTCTTTTGGAAATTAGATTTTATGGAGGAAACAATCATGTACAAGCAATGGCAACAAATGAGCAATTCGACATTCGGGAGAATGATGATGTGGGCGGAACGGACAGACTTGGGAAGGGAAGCCTATGAAATCTGCACTCTTTCCTACATCGCCCCATTAAAGAGCGCATTCTGTATATCCGTCTCCAAGATTACCCGATTAGAACTACTCAAGGATGATTCAGGGGTTCCTGGAAGGTTAGATACCTGGTGAATGACCCTTCGACCCTTCAGGAACTGGCATCAGAATTTGTGACAATTTGGCAGATGAATTCAGGTTTCACTACCTAATCAGGATACCCAGAGGGATACCCATAGGCCCGCACATCGAAGAGGTGCAAGAAGATAAGAGAGAAGATGAAGCGAAGGAATGGACGAAATCTGACCACCGCATTTTCGTAGGTAATGCCGGTAAAATGATGACGATTCGAGTCGAGAACCCGTTTCCAACGTGGTAGGCCAGTTGGTTAGTGGTGGTCTCGAACACGTTTGTTTCGAAGTGGTCAAAGTAGATAGGATCGTTGGAACGACGCACCTTCGACCACCTATATCTGGTCACTAAATCGACAACGAACATGGATCAGACATCGGTTCGTCGACAGTTCCGTGTTGGCGACCGTTGGAGAAAAGGGAAATCTGTCTGCTTTCAGAAATGGGCTTTTCTTGAAGCCAAGCTCTAAAAATGCTCTTACAACTGCTCAACAACCCTGAAATTTGCAGAAAAAAACAAAGGACAGAGTGGGAAGGTAGATCAACCCTTTCGCAATGCACCATGCATCTAGCAATCATTTGAAATCGCAGCAGCATCTGAATGGTTTATGGATCGTGCAAATCTAGCGCAAGACTGACGAATCTGGAGAATTAAAGGCAAGACGTAATTGGCCGAGTTTCTATCTTAGGGGTAGGGGTGGGTCTGGCGTAATGGCAGTAATTCCTGAACGCCTCTCCCCCTGGAAATTCCCAGAGTCGCAAAGAATGGATCGGGTTGGCAACCAAGTTAATGCGTAGAAAAAAGGATAAAGTCTTTGGGCACCAATCAACCTCGCCAGAGGGACGCGCTCTGCATTCTACTTCCAATGACTTGCGGTGGCTAACCGATGTACAAATCAGTGCCTTTGTCCTCCCAGACGAGTCTAGTACCCATTAATCGGCCCCGGACGATGGATGGTTATAGGGTGACCTAGGCGGATATCCGGTATTCGAGCCCGCGAAATATAGTTACCTTTTTACAAAAAAAAAACTAACTCGTCATATATTGATAATAAAATACTAAGGTATGGGAAGATATATACAACTTTGAAAAACAAGTAGTCACCCTTCAAGATAAATGTTGAAATACATAAAAAACCACGCAGTTATTTAGTTGCCAAACTAACAAAATGTGGATAGATTGCAGACAGGAAGGGCAGCTTACAAGGGCAACGAATTTCCCAATGCTCTCAAGAAAAGTTCGAATCGATGTCTCCATAGGTTACTAAGAGTGCAAGTATCCCCCAGTGCAACAAACATCAGCCTATCCCATTAGTTTCCTCGCCTTGCCTCTGACGAGAAAAATCTTCAATTTGGCTGGCTTAGCCAGCTTTGGATTGGACTGGAAATCTGCAAAACCAGCCTAACATAGGGGCGGTCTTTCAGTTTTCAGTCTGCTAATGCAGTTTGACATATTCCTATTGTTCCGTATTTCAAAGATCACTTAAGTTCTATGGCATATGAATGAACTTATATAATATTAGTTGAAAACAGAAACAATAACAACAAAAGAATAACAACGAAACAATAACAACAAGACAAAACAATAAACCAATCACAACGAAAAAATTATAAAATAACAAGTATTAGCAGCATTGGAAGGATGCACTAGTTAAACTCATGCTTTAACCCATTGACGACCGCGTGGCTCGCCGGTAGTATTTATATTATTTATCAAGGGTTCTTATAATTTTTTTTCATGTTTTCAAGTATCAGCTGAACCCACAACCTTCTAGATAATCTTGAGGCATTGTGGTCCAGGAGTCATTCACTTCCAACTACAGTTATAAGAGAAATTAAAAGTTAATGTAAGGACAATGTAAAATTCGCGGCCGCCAATGGGTTAAAGACAGTGACAAAGAGGATTCATAAATGGGAG